TAGTAGCACGAGTCCTCGCCATCTGCGAGAGAATAGAATGATAGAAATTTTTAGTGTTCGGATCAACAAAGTCGCACGACAAGAATTTCAAGAATATGAAGTTTTCCTAAAGGTTCTGCAGCCTCTCGAGGATAAATACAGATGTCTCCGTACCGATCCGTGAGACTCTACTAAACCGGCTCATGACTCGCGAGACCAATTAACCTAGGCTCTGATACCAACTTGTCACGACCCCAACCCCGGTCATGATGGCGCCCAACACACTGCTAGGCAAGCCCGACCATTCAACAACATTATCCCAAATCACCTAACGAAGCTACAGTAACCCTCGAAATTCCATTCCGACTCTCGGATCAAAAACTCACCTATCAACCGGAATTCGCCAAAATACTAACTTCGCCAATTCAAGCCTAATTCTATTCCAGACCTTCAAAATAAATTCCGATCACACTCCTAAGCCACATATCATCCCCCGAAGCTAACCGAATCACCAGAAATCACATCCGAGCCCTCTAACTCAATAGTCAACATCCGGTTGACTTTTTCCAAAACAAGCCTTCCTTAAAGAGATTAAGTGTCTCATTTCCTATCAAAGCCAATCCGATTTAACTCTAACACCGAATACCGATAACGAAACATGAAGAGGCATAAAAATGGGGGAAACGGGGCGGTAACTCATGAGACGACGGGCCGGATCGTCACATAAACCATCCATAGATATTTGTCTAGGGTAAAATGAGAGGTTTAAAGTTAAATTGTTTAAAAAAAAAGTGTCATTCTTTTTGGCACAAACAGAAAAGGAAAGTGTCACATAAAGTAGGACAGAGGGAGTGATATATATCGGCAAAATGGGATTGTAAAAGTTTGCTGACTTCCTTTCTCACGCTTAATGTAGATGGTCTGATGAACCTTTTTGCTGGTTCTTGAGAATTCTGATTCTCCGATATGTCTGAGTAATTGATGTTAAATTTTTAGATTCTTTGTAGCCCTTCCCCGGACCTATGATTGTTTTTTGAAATATTTTGATTGTGAGCTGCAAAGGATGTAGCAGTTGTTTTCTTTAGTGGGAGTCATTTTACTTTCCTTTTCTTTTGATCGAATCATCCTTTTCCTATTCTGAGCCCGGTGCATAAGGCTTCTCCTTGGAGTCTAGAGACGTCTGCAGTACAGGGTTACCCTTGCCTGCAAGAGAGGCTCTTTCTGCCTAAAATCGACATCAGAATTTGTCGAAACATTAAAAAAGAAGTTAGAATCTTTTAACTAGCTTCTGGAACATATTAACTTATTACTGCACGCTGTATTAAGAAATCAGTAGTATAAGTAAAATTTGAGAAAACTGACAATGATATGAAAGTGATGCTTGAAAATGCTTCGATATCTTTTAGCTGCTGTGAAGTTGTGTCTTTCTTGTTCGGAGAAAATGGAAACAGAACAAACAAATAGCCAGTAAGCATATGCTAGGACGTTTGAGCTTCATCTCAACATTAATTTCTGATGGGGCACTTATTATCAGAATCGTGTATCCTTTATATCTATTCCTTTGCTTACCACATATAAGTTGCTATCTGGGATTTTCATTGGCTGCTAACATAATTACGTGCAGCTTTTTGGCTTTGCCTATCTTGGGCCATTTGGGCATTTTCTTCACTTATTACTGGATAAACTTTTCAAGGGGAAGAAAGACACAACAACAGTTGCAAAAAAGGTAATTAAACACTGCTTCTCTGTATAATTTACAATATGTATCGGGATAAGAAGTTGCAGATTCCTATTGAATCCGCATCCTTTAGTGTCACAATTACCCCTCAGTCCTTTTATTTTTCTTTTTGATGTAATAGATTAATTTCAACATTAATCAATCATAATGAAACTCCTTTGCTATATTACCAATTTGGTCAAACAGTATTTTTCAGTTGGGGAAAGCTCTAGAAGAGTAATGACCAGATTAGTACACAAGAATATGAAACTTGCAATTTAATTGTTTCAGGTGGTGTTGGAGCAAGTGACATCTTCGCCTTGGAATAACTTGCTTTTCATGATTTACTATGGGTTAGTTATTGAAAGTGAGTTTTATTCCGAGCTACAACTATATTTCATCTTTGCAACTCTTAATTATTTAACCTTATAACCCCCCCAAAAAACTAATTATTTCACGGATTACATGATGCTTCTGCAAGTAAATACACAATAAATTGAAGTTATGACTATTGGAACCTTCACTGTTGACTTAGAATGCATGAATCATTTTTGGATTTGAATCTACTAAATTTTTGATAGCCTGTTTGGCCAAGCTTATTTTTGGCCAAAAATGTTTTTTTTTTTGGCCAAAAGTACTTTTGGCCTCAATTTGAGGTGTTTGACCAAGCTTCTGGAAGGGAAAAAAGTGCTTTTGAGGAGAAGCAGAAGCAGCTTTGGAGAAGCAGAAAAAAGTAGCTTCTCTTCAAAAGCACTTTTGGCCTCAATTTGAGGTGTTTGGCCAAGCTTCCGGAAGGAAAAAAGTGCTTTTGAGGAGAAGCAGAAGCAGTTTTGGAGAAGCAGACAAAAGTAGTTTCTCTCCAAAAGCACTTTTTTGAGAAGCACTTTTGAGAAAAATACACTTAGAAACAGTTTTTTAAAGCTTGGCCAAACACTAATTGCTGCTCAGAAGTGCTTTTCAAACTAATTAGCCAAACACAAACTGTTTCTCAGCGAAAGTACTTTTGAGAAAAGTACTTTTGAAAAAAAGCACTTCTCAAAATAAGCTGATTTTTTGTAGCTTGGCCAAACGGGCTATGAATGTCAAATGCACTCTGAAGCGCTACACCTTTTACAAGCTGCACCAAAAGATTCTTTACAGTGTACAAGCTTTGATTAAACTACAAAGTTTTCTCATGTGAAAGCAGCCTGAAACTATTTTTCTTGTGCCGAAGTTGCTCATCTCTATTTTCTGGATCTCCCATTTTAACTAATACCCTGAAATATTCTTGTTTCAAAAGAAGTATTTTGCTTGAGTATTTCTTATTGAGTACTTATGCCATGAGGGTGGGAGAGGAGGAGATGTTTCGTGATTGATAAGGATGTAAAGGTCAAGTGATTTCTGGCCGCTCTGAACTTGGGCGGAAGGAGGAAGGATACTCCTTTTATTTCCCTTCTAATTGTACCAATTATTAGAAGTAGATGATGAATACTCCTAATAAACCAATGATTTTCTCTACCCTGAATCTTGTAATATGTACAGGTAGACCCTGGATCCAGGTGAAGTCTAATATTAAGAGGGAATATCCAAAAGTGCAATATACGGCTTGGACGGTTTGTCAAATTGTCCCTCTTTCAGATTCAAATTTTGTTATTCTGCTGTATAGTGAACTATAACTGTATCAATCGTTCAAACTACACAGTTTTGGCCAGTCGTAGGTTGGATTAATCACCAGTATGTGCCGCTGCAGTTCCGTGTCATCTTTCACAGCATCGTCGCATGTGGCTGGTATGCTACATTTACCTACTCGTCGTTACTTGTTTCTGATATGGTCAACTTCATTTCCACCTCAATGATTGATTTCACAAAATCGTTGATCCTTTCTTGTTTTCAACTTGTAGGGGAATATTTTTAAATCTACGTGCAAGATCAATGGCCTTAAAGAAAGCTTGAAAAAATCTCGAAGTTGCAATTTGGACATGGTACCATATTCATATATAGTTCAACGATTACAGGGGCTTGCTTCTTCAAGCTCCATCCAACCTATACAAGAAGTCGCTCGCTTTCTCTCTGCTACTAGTGGCTTGTCATTAATGAATGCTGTCCGTTTTTAGTTTGTTGTATTTTATCTTTCTTTTCTGTGTTTTTATTTTCTTGAATATTAGGACATCTTTTAACTACAAGGTTGGTTGTCATAGAGCACCATTCTAGTTGATGATGGCCATAATTTTTATAACTACAAAGCTTATACAAGGAATAGTTTATTTCTTCGGAAATGCTTTTACAATTTGATTTCCTTATTTGCATTAGTCATGGATGACAAAACAAATCCAAGAATGCAAAGAATGCCAAAGCTGGGCAAAGATCACTTTTCGCCCGCGACCAAAACTATTTACCTTCGGTAACCACAAAAGTGTATGAAATTTGTATATTTTTGTATATATCTTATAGAAATGCATATATATACAAAAAATATGTATTTATTCAGCTATTATTTTGAAACGGCTAAATAATGTCATTTTCCCTATATTTATTTATTTATTTATTTATTAGTCTTTTGAAGGGGAATGTTGATGTAACTGGTAAAGTTGCTGCCATATGACCGGGAGGTCACAGACTCACTGATGTTTAGCTTAAAACATATATATTTCTATGTATATCGCCTCATATTTTACTTTTGTTTCGTGAATTTGGGATGTTAAATACTATGATTTATGTTAATTTGAAGTGTTTTTTGTGTAGGAATGATTCGGGAGCAATTGGGGGCGAAACGCGCAAGATTTGAACTAAAACGAACAAAACCGAACGAATTGAGCATTTGGGCGTCACAGGCAGCGTCCGGCGCCACCTGTGGCGCTGGAGGCAGAATGGAAGTTGAGGCAGCGCCCTGGTGGGCGCTAGGCGCCGAGCTGGGCGCCGTTAACACGGATTTTGTCCGGGACACAGTTTATTCGGCCCTAGGCCTACCCAACACGTATAAAAGTAAGACTAAACATATTTTTGGAAGGGAAGACGCCACTTTGGAGATATCCAACATATTTTTGAAGGGAGTTTCACGTGGAGGAACACACACCACGCGTGGAGGAGGCTTCTAACTAGTTTTTCTTCTCTTCTCTTCCTTTAATTTCATAGTTTATTAGTTCTAGAGTTTTGGGTGCTACATAAACGTTGTAGTTTGAAGCTTGAATAGTTCTTATTATTTTATCATATTGGTTTATTTATTCAATCTTGCGCTTAAGTATTTGATTGCTTGATCACCAATTGAATACTATCTACGAATTTAGGATTGAACTCGGGAGAGGAAATTCTAGATTGCATATAAGATTGAGTAGAGCAAGATCTTAACTCTGAGGGGGAGCGGATTTGCGGTTAGGATAGGAATATACCTAATCGCCTTGCTTGGTTACTATACAGGAATTATTAATGCGTTCTTGTTAATCCTAATTCCATAGGAATATAGGCGTTAGGTTAGCTTGAATATGCGAGTTGTACTTCGGGAGAAGGCTACGAGCAATATTAACCCTGTCAACCAATAAACCAGATAAATTAATTAGACGATTTAAGTGAAAAAACTCAACGGGATTGTTAGCTAACCCATAGCTCTAGAATATTCACTCACATTGAATTCATCTTTATAATTCTCCAACTTGTTTTCTTTAATCTCTTAGTTTGTTACGTTAGATTAATTTTAGCTAAATATTTATATGTTAGGATTCGCTTGAATAGATTAATTATTTGGTTTAATTTAGTTGATAGTTAATCACAAGTCCCTGTGGGTACGATATCTGGACTTACAATCCTATATTACTTGTCGACCACGTACACTTGCGTGTGCGTTTGGGAGCAACAAATTTTTGGCGCCGTTGCCGGGGACTTAGAAATTAACTATTCTACTAGATTAAATTTTTACTTTTGCCCTATTCAAGTTTTTATTTTATTTTTATTTTAACTTACTTTAATATTTTATTATCTTTGTTGACATGGCATCTTGGAACGATAACTGGTCAAATATTGGTTGTTCTTATTTTGGTGATCCTTGTCGATATTGTAGAGGACCATACTTAGGGCAAAATTGTGCATCTCAATCTGATGTGTGGAATTTTTGTACTGTGTGTGGTTGTCAAGGTGGCCATTGAGATGGCTGTCCTAATTCTTATTATCCTTCTCAGAGTTCTTATTATAATGTTTCTAATAATGTTTATGAGTTTGATAGGAGCAATGAAGTGGAGGATATAAAAAGCATGACTCGTATTATGGACATGATAAGGCAAATAGCCGAGCAACAGAATATGATGAGGCAAATAGTCGAGCAACAAAGCCTTGATGCCTTAACGATAAAAAAACTCCAGGCTAGAATGGACGAATTAATGGCCAATTTCCAAGAAGAACTTCAATTCGATGAAGAGAGCGAGTTCCCACAAGAAGATTATTTTGAAGAAGCAGATATAGTGAGACAATCTTGGCTTAAGGAACAAGCTCAACTGATAAAATCTCATGAGTTTCTCCGTGATGGTCTTTCAAACATGACAGAACAACTGATAGAAGGAAGAATTGAGCTCAGGCAAGAAATAGACTAATTTGGCTTAGATATCCATGACATTCATGATCAATTGAATAAAAAGGTTGAGGCGTCTGATGCCCTACAACCAGTTTTTGTGGATACTGGCCAGCTTGAGGAGCGGAAAGAGGAACTCTAATTATTCGACCAAAATATTATTAATGATGCCAAGGTTGACGTAGAGTGCAAAATTGAGGATGTCAAAAATAATGCAATTTTGGAGTTGGAGCGTATTGGACCTCATTCTAAACATTTTTCAACATTGTGTTTGGTTGGTGACATGAGAATTGATCCAGTCGAACATATGAAGGAGTCAATGGATGAGGAACAAATTGCTTATATTCTGAAATTTGTGATGTCAAGGAGACAAAATGATATCCCCCACTTAAAGGCCAAGAAGTGCAAGATGCGATACCTATTGCTTGGTTCATTTATTTTTATACAACCGCCCCAAGAATGTGACAAAAAAATTGATGCAAAATTGGGGGCACAATTCATATCTTCAAAGTGGAAGGAAAAGTGGTGAAAGTAATGGTGTCGTGCCGCGACGTTAAATAAAACGCTTATTAGGAGGCAACCCAGTCTGTATTTTTTTTTATTTTTTATTCTTTATATAGTGTCAAGTTTCGTATTGTTTTTGTTTTGCAGAGTAGGGGAAGTCTGAGTAACCGAAGTTGAAGCTGAGGAGCATGTTTGAGCTTAAGTGTGGGGTCGTCCCGACCCTTAATATTAAGGATCATGTCCGAGCTAGGCCCGAGAAGGCCTTAGGGAGTATTTCTCCCTCTGTTTTAATATTTTTTATCTATGATCATGCATCGAGGACTATGCATAAAATAAGTGTGGGGTGGAGAAACTACTTTCTGAAGTGTAATTGTATAAAACTATTTTTATTTAGTTTTTCTTTTAGAACTCGTAGTAGACATACTCTAGGTATAAAAAAAAACGAAAATTGAAAAAAAAAATTAGAAAAAATTCAGACTTTTCCCGACGATGGATCTTTTGGACAATTTTCTTGAGGTATAAAGTCCGATTAAAAACACCAAAAAAGATTTTCTTTTAAAGATAGTTAGGTAGTATCCCTTGATTTTTCTTTGGGCGCCGGTTCTTTTTCAAGGGTGTAGCTCGAACCGAGTACTTTATTTATTTATTTATTTTAGGAGTAGTTTAGGAAGAAACTGAGTCGCTCTAAGATATTCGTTGACATGGTTGATGCTAGCACATTAGGCTATGACATACATTCTGTTTTCCCATGTATTTGGTTTGAATTGTGAAGTCTAAGTAAAGTAAATAGTCTATTTTGTGAAGCCTTTTCTCAGTTGCTTGACTTGTATACCACATAGTGCAATATTGCTTAAATTTCTCATTTAATTGTGCTTGCTTAACTTGAGAGTTGAACAGAACCGTCTTGATTGAGTCATGTGCAACGTGTGTGTGATGATTTGTGATTTTCTGTGCTATCCTATGTAGTCTAGAACTTGCCCCGTATGTTAATTAAAGTGAAATTGTAAGTTGTGCTAATCTAGGAGATGACATAGTCATTTTCTTGCTTGATCATGGATGTGCTTGTCACATAAAAATAAAATTTTTCGTTGCTAGCCCCTTTGTGCCTATAGACCTTTTCTTTGGCAACCACATTACAAGTCATACCCCTATTTTGTTCTGAATTTGATATTGATTGAACCTTTACCTCCTAAGGCATTTAGTCGCTAAAAGAAGTAAGGATTAGCGATTGGGGAGTAGCTTTTGAGTGAAACCATGGAAGGACCCGTTGGTGTACTAAAGGTGAAATCAAAAGTCACTAGCCGATGAACTTTAATGTATGGAGTGTGTGAAGAAAAGAAAAAAAAAGAAAAACAATTGCAATAAAAGAAAAAAATGATAGTACAAATAATGGAGAAAACACATACACCTCCAATTCTTATTGATTTGTGCTAGTGGAATTATAGAAGTGCTTAATTGAAAAGAGGCTATGATGTATATGACAAGTGAATTGGTTAAGAAAAATATGTGCTTGAATTGTGAATGTAGTGTATTAAAGTCATAGGAGGGTTAGTCACTATTTCTAAATGTACCATACCCGTTCCTTAGCCTACATTACAACCTTAAAGTCCTAATTGATCCTAGATTTGGCGAGCTTAAATTAGTAGAGATATACACTACGGGAAAGCTTATGGTATGACCACGGGATGCATATGAATTCTTTGTGAGAGTGAGCGAATTTTGTTCAATTGTGCGATGTCCTTAATCTATATTCAAAAGTATATTTGAATGTGTGGACTACTATATTCACCCTTTTATTTGTTGGTAAGGACACATGATCTCATGAATGATTGGTAATGTTGTAAACTTTCGTGTTGGGTAAGTGCATGACTTGAGGGTGCTTGGTGGTTACAAGTCGGCTTTTGAGGTTGAGTGATGACAAATAGGTTGTTGGAATTTATTGAATTGAAATATTATACATGGGTATGCTTAAACGGGAAGAATGTGAAATTTTGTGTGTTCATACTTGTGTGCCTGTATTAATAATAGTCAAGGGTATAGTGTGTGATTAAAAGTTAAAGTGATCCTTATAATTGATACTTGTACGTAGTTAGAGGGTAGTAGATTGTCCCATTGCTCGAGGACGAGCAAGAGTTTAAGTGTGGGGTGTTGATGTTTAACTTAAAACATATATATTTCTATGTATATCGCCTCATATTTTACTTTTGTTCGTGAATTTAGGATGTTAAATGCTATGATTTATGTTAATTTGAAGTGTTTTTATGTGTAGGAATGATTCAGGAGCAATTGGGGGCAAAACGCACAAGATTTGAGCTAAAACGAACAAAACCGGACGAATTGAGCATTTGGGCACCACAGGCAGCGCCTGGCGCCACCTGTGGCGCTGGAGGCAGAATGGAAGTTGAGACAGCGCCCTGGTGGGCGCCTAGCGCCGAGCTGGGCGCCGTTGACGCGAATTTTGTCCTATTTTGCCTGGGACACGGTTTATTCGGCCTTAGACCTACCCAACACGTATAAAAGCAAGACTAAACATATTTTTAGAGGGGAAGACGCCACTTTGGAGATATCCAACATATTTTGGAAGGGAGTTTCACGTGGAGGAACACACACCATGCGTGGAGGAGGCTTCTAACTAGTTTTTCTTCTCTTCTCTTCCTTTAATTTCATAGTTTATTAGTTCTAGAGTTTTGGGTGCTACATGAACGTTGTAGTTTGAAGCTTGAATAGTTCTTATTATTTTATCATATTGGTTTATTTATTCAATCTTGCGCTTAACTATTTGATTGCTTGATCACCAATTAAATACTATCTACGAATCTAGGATTGAACTCGGGAGAGGGAATTCTAGATTGCATATAAGATTGAGTAGAGCAAGATCTTAACTTTGAGGGGGAGCGGATTTGCGGTTAAGATAGGAATATACCTAATCGCCTTGCTTGGTTACTATACAGAAATTATTAATGCATTCTTATTAATCCTAATTCCATAGGAATATAGGCGTTAGGTTAGCTTGAATATGCGAGTTGTACTTCGGGAGAAGGCTACGAGCAATATTAACCCTGTCAACCAATAAACCATATAAATTAATTAGACGATTTAAGTGAAAAAACTCAACGGGATTGTTAGCTAACCCATAGTTCTAGAATATTCACTCACATTGAATTCGTCTTTATAATTCTCCAACTTGTTTTCTTTTATCTCTTAGTTTGTTACGTTAGATTAATTTTAGCTAAATATTCATACGTTAGGATTCGCTTGAATAGATTAATTGTTTGGTTTAATTTAGTTGATAGTTAATCACAAGTCCTTGTGGGTACGATATCTGGACTTACAATCCTATATTACTTGTCGACCACGTATACTTGCGTGTGCGTTTGTGAGCAACACTCACGGGTTCGAGCTGTAGAAACAACCTCTTGCAGAAATGCAGGGTAAGGCTGCGTACAATAAACCTTTGTGGTCCGGCTCTTTTTCAAATTTCGCGCATAACGGGAGGCTTAGTGCACCTTTATTTTTATTTATTTATTTATTTTTTCTCTTGGCTCTTCTACTGTGACTTCCAAAGCGAGATTCTTGAGAATAAAAAGATTGAGTTGTCGTAATGACAACAATCTTCATTAATTTAGCCAGGCGATCGAGGCCTTTGACCAATTTCCCTTTAGCACCTCACAAACGTGTTCCTCATATTTTTAACGAGGCAGTGAGCTGAACTTCTGCTATTTAATTTCTTCCTATTGTTTAGTTTTTTTTCTCTGTTTGGAGTGCCAAAAAAAAAAGAAAAAAGAATATGCTTTTTCCTAGATGCTTGGCTAGAGATCATTCATATCGAGTTATAAAAGTAATCTTTCTGAGTTTAAGTTCTATGCTGTGATTATACAAAAAGATAGTTTCATAATCGGTTATTTATAGAGTAATTATAGGTAAAATTTCTATGATAAGTATTAAGGATGATTAGTTACTAGTTTTCACAGATTATATTATATTATAGTACAAAAATCTTTACACTGTCAAGATCTTTAACATACTCTTTACTGTTTATCATACGAGATTTCACAATATCATTGATCCTTTATCGTTTTCAACTTGCAGGGAACAACACCAAGGGTTGTGGTGAGATGAGTATGATCCCTCCACCCTTAACTAGAGGTCTCTGATTCGAGCGTTGAGAATGAAAAAACACTTGGTATGTGGCGCTTTCCCTTAATTTGCCTTACGCGGCGTGAGCTCGGATTAGTCGAAGCTCCAATATGTGTACTGAATATTAACCGGGGGAACTTTTAAGGGAACATTTTTAAATCTATGTGCAATATCAATGGCTATAAAGAAAGCTTGAAAATCTTAAAGTTGCAGATTTAGACGGGGCAACATGTTCTTATGTAGTTCAAAGATTCTGGAAATGGATGTGTTCTGTTGCTACATTAGTTTTCTCTTCTCTTTCTTTTTTGGGTTTTTTATTTTCTTGAGTATTAGGACATGTTTTAGCTAATTAAATGGTTGGTTTTCATAGAAAACCATTCTAGTTGATAATGGGCATATTATAATAACAAAGCTTATATAGGAGATTAGGAGTATTAGTTTATTTCTTGGGAAATGCTTTTTCAATTTGATTTCGTTATTTGCATTAGTCATGGATGACAAAACAAATCCAATAACTCATAGAACGCCAAAGCTTAGACTAAACAAATCCAATTTTTGTTATTCATATTGATCAATGGATTTTTAGGTCTAACCTATGAAATATGTAGACACGTTCTATCGAATGATAAGCGGTGGACTTTTGATAAGGTAAGAAGAGGCTTAAGCACGACAGATGTCATATACTTGAGTGGCAAAGAAAATCGAGACCTTACATTTATTTATTTTTTTGGTAAAAGAAAAAAGAAAATCTTTTTCCATGTTAAGAAGTAAACGAAGCAGATCAAGTTTGAATAACATTGTCACACCTCCTTTTTACTATACCCCATAAAGGGCATAAATATAAGAGAGTTTTTTCAATTAAAGGACAATCGAAAGGGGATCGTTTATTTATTTATGGTCCGCGAACACAGAAATCCGAGTAAGGAATTCTGTTAACCCGGGAGAAGGAGTTGGGCATTCCCGAGTTCCGTGGTTCTAGCACGGTCGCTGTGATCATACTTGACTTATTATTATTACTGATTTTAGATACTATGTGCATTTACCCCTTTACCGCTTTTAAATTAAAAATTATCTTGAAACGGGTCACGCGTACGTGTACCCATTTGTTTGGCGCGTCAAAAATCATGTCACGCGAACGTGTCCACAATTAATAACGCTTTATTATTGTCAAAAAGTTTGGCCGATTATGCGGACGTATACGCGGTCATGATAGTGTATTAAATGTGCGTAGAGCAAACTACCAACATTTGTCATATTTTCTATCTAGGTTATTAACATGAGGAAGATGAATAATTAATTTGTAGATGACACGCTTCAAAACTCTTAAAATTGATTAGTGGCCTATTAGCAAATGTTTCTATTGTTAAAGGAAATTGTTCGAAGCTGCGCGAACGCATACTCCTATTTATTTTAAGAAACCGTAATCATGTCACGCGAACGTGTCCACAACCACGATAGTATTTTTAAACAGTCCTAAAGGTTTCTCTACGAATATTTGTTATTTTACATCTATATTATGAAATTAACACAAGAGCCATTTGTTACTAAGCGTCTAATTATAGCTTGCCTCAAATTAATTACCACAAATAATTGAACTAACACGATTTAAGGCCTAGGTGTTCAACTATTAGGGAAGGGGGAGGGACGTTAGATGTTCAGAAGTTGGACAACCTCTATTAGTTAACATTAGCAACAATAAAACTTTGGGCTCAAGACAAGCCCATGACAAGCGAAGACAACTAGACCAAAGTAAACAGAAGCCACCACTGCGAAAGACGGGTTAATACCAATTCTGCATTACACTATCAAGCACTGATTCTCTTTAGTCTTATGTCCGTGTCTTACTACGATAGTATTCAGAATCTAAAACTGAAACATTAATCAATTCATGGGAATAGAGCCTATATATCTGATGGAGACATGCTGCAAATTTTCACGACAAAGCATAATGAGGTTAATTCACCACCTATTTTAGCTCTTCTTTAAAGTTAATAACTTAAACTCCTATTCGTGAGGCGTCCATGCTGTTATACTTAAAGAATGAATATCTCTTAAATAAACAAACCAATTCAAAACTCTTGTTGAGTTCACAAAGGGCTCAATCAACAGTATAGAAGAAACTGAGAGCACACTCTGTTTTCTCACATTCAATGTCAAATCCTTATATTTGCCAAAGCCATGAAACATACATTCAAACCAAACAAATTTAATTAGTTAAACTAGTAGTCCCAGTCCATAATTAATACACACATAATTGATTAGTACTCTGGACTCAATGTACTCCTGAAAGTCCAAATCTAGCATAATGTTAGAAAATCCAACTTCAAGTTTCACATTACATGGCTATCAAAATAAGTGTGATACAAAACTCTCCACTAAATACAAGACCATTTCTTTAGACTCAGAGACTAAAGATTCAGAGAATAGGAAAAGAGGAACTAAATTATGATTAACAAACTAATGCTAAGCACCACAATTCCATTTTCATTTCACCCTTCAAGTCAAGCATTCACATTATACAAGTTTTCGAGCATGTACCTGGAAATTGAGAAGGAAAAAGAGGTGAACAACCAGCAATAACAGCAGAACAAAATGTACTGTAGTATCAATGCAACAGTGACTTCACAGCAGCTTGAAACCCAGAACAGCCAAAATTAAACCATCTCCCAACCCAGGTGCAAGATGTGAAACTTTCAGGGATTTTTAACAAATGAAGAAGATCAGAAATTCCCAGTAGACACAGAATTATATCAGTTTTTATCAAAGAAATATGCTGGACATTAATGCAGTTTCAGAATGCTCAGCTGTTTTTGGTCTCTCAGAATTTTCTCTTTTTCAGTCTCTTCGATCTTACTTGAATGTCAAGTTATGATGCCTTTATAGGCAAGGTTCTAGGGCAACAGAAAAAATTTCAGTTTTTGCCCTTTACTCCTTTTTTAATTTTTGTTTTTGCTAGTTGATCCTTAATTTAAAAACTCAGCTTTCACATAGGACCCCAAGACACCTTCCAGGAAACTTCCCTAGTTAGTTATACAAGATTCTTTCACCTAATGCCCTAAACTACCCCTTAATCCCCCTGTTTTTACCCTTCGGAACCTCAAATGGGTCATGGGTTAAACGACCCAATGGTTACACAGGCCTGGGCTCAGAAAATCCATTCGAGTTTCTAGGAATGAATTCTGAAATGAATTCAAAGCCCAAAAGGCATAATGACTCAAACCCAGATTTAGCAAATTACGGCAAATGGTAAAGAAACAACTGAATAATTTTCACAAAATTTAAAACCTGAACTAAAATACTAGTTAATGCAAAATTAAACTAAATTATCACATTAACCTAACTAGGTTAAACTAAAAGGCTAAATAAAGAAGATGAACACAGAATTTATCAAGCAAAACCAAGCAAAAAATCAAGGGGTAAGCCTGGAAAAGAACAAACTGAAAAAGAACAGACGGTACAAGGTTTTCACTTGGCCGGAAATTTTGGTCGACATTTCAATTGAATTATCCGAAGAAAAGAAGAAGAGAAGAAGAAAAATAAAAGAACGAACCAAAGAAAAAAAAGAAACTCACTGACTCGGCTCGCGCTCATGACTGCCTCTCCGATTAAAGCCCCAATATAATATCAATCGCCTATTCTTTGTCAAGAACAGGCAAGTAATGCTATTTCGTGGTAAAATCGGCATTCTGACACTCGTGAATATTGGAGAAGTGGCCTTGCATGAATGAACTTGGCTTTGGCTTCTAGGGTTCGAACCCTAGATTTAATATTTGAGGAGTTCTAAGCATATTCGAATGGAACGGATTGAGGATTTGGGAAGAGGGGAGTGAGGGGGTTCTCTGGTGTTAGTTTGGGGTCGGTTTGTGGTGGCTCCGCCTCCGGCGGTGGGGGAATTTAGGGGCGGCCCTTAGGGTTTGGCAGGGGTGGGTTTGTGAAGATGAATTAGATGAGGGAGATGAGTTAGGGGGTAGGGGGTCAGTCAGACAGTTTTATACTGTCAAGCCCACAGTTCCGGACCATCGAATGAAGCAAGATGAAGGGCCAAGATTTGTTAAGGCAAACTGAACACGAAACGACGTCGTTCCACTCCCTTATGACGTCGTTTCAACGGCCTGGGTGATGGCCTACTTGGACCGGGTAAGACAAAGGACTTTGGGCCGGGTATTAGGTAATTTTGTTTGGGCTGGGGAAATTTGGGTTGATTTTGGCCCAGTTTTGGATTTCCTCTCATTTCTTTCTTTTTCTTTTCAATTTCACAATTCTTTTCTTTTTCAAAAATTAAAATAAAACCTAAATTAATTAATAATAATTTTTAAATTAAATTAACCTACCCAATTAGATTAATCACTCACCATGGTATTTACAATGATTAATAAAATCCTAAATTTAAAGAAAAATTACACAATTCAAAATTAAAAAGTAAAAATGCAAACTGAATTATTTTGTGATTTTCATTTTTTATAAACAAACTAATTTACTAATTGATCTAAAAATATAAAATCAAATCTTAAATGCAGATGCAACATATTTTTGTATTTTTCATGAATTAAATAAAATAAACGTGCACAGACAAATGCAAATAATTAACAGAAAATGTCACGAAATCCAACAAAATTGCAAACACTAAAAGAAATTATTTTATTTTGAATTTGTTGAAGTAATACATATAGGGCAAAAATCACGTGCTCACAAACATAAACATAAGAAACTAAAACTTTGCATTTGTAAAACTCCATTACTTAAAACTTTACTAGTATTTTAGCAATAATTAATTAATGATTTAATCTGAGTCTCCTAAGTTGGAGATTGTGCTGCAATTTTCACACACAGTATCATACCACGTGGGTTTGAAAATGAGTCAATCATATACTACTCCTCATTTTCAGGAATAGGACTATTTAGGAAACACATTAATATATTATGATTTTAAATTCCTAAAATTTCCACAAAATGTTGGCAATTGAATATCCACGTGATTCTTAGTTTTTTATTTTTTGGGGGGAAAGAGCATCTACACTAGTAGTAATATGAGTAATAATTAAGGAAGATCAGAGCAAGTCTATTGTTAGATATGAAGTCTCACAAAATCTTTTTGCCCAAAAATTACAATTTTTGTATAAGCATCCACTAACAAGTAAAAAAGAAAAAGAAAAAGAAAAAGAAAAAGAAAAAGGATGGTCATAGTGTTGAGTTTATTTCCTTTATGTCAAACCTATTCACTAAAAAAAAAAGGAATTAGCCACGAGCTTCGACACCAATTTGTCGCTAAATTACTCGTAACTAATAGAATTTCTTGATAATCTGTCGCTAATTCGTTGTTAAATAAGATTAGCGGTTAATTTTTCTGTTTAACTACATAATTTGTCTGTCGCTAATTTATATTTTTTAATCATCCACTTATCCTAATCAACTCCTATACTATGTAGACTATTTGTTTCTTTTCATCACTATTTTTGTGTGCTAGTTTTGATCAAAACATAAAGGAATTTTTACCTCCTATAGCAAAGATTAACATCTTATTTATTTTAAATAAATACCATTTAAAAAAATTATATTCTATAGATACCTTTTAATGTTTATAATAAAATATCTAATTTTGGTTACCTCCTACCCCTAAACCACTAAATACGCTATTCAGTTACACTATTTTCTTCTCTCTCTACTTTGATACATGCCATTCTCTTCCCCCTTCTCCGAAAACAGGATGCCCAATCTCAAAATTCCTCTCACTATAAATATCTAGTGAAACTCCTTGCCACCGCAGCATTTGATAATACGTAGTCAATTATTAGATTCGCACCAGTCAAAAACGCTAGAAATTCCTACTCTTTTCTCTGGAGAAAGAAAAAAAACAAAGCGTTACTATTGAAAAGTATTTCAAACCGGCGATCGACAACCAAGATATCACAGTTCGTGAAATCAAGCCTAAGAACAGGCGAATCATGGTAAAATTCAAGAAACCACCTATCGTTTTGGCTTTTGTTATATGGTGAAATTTCCAGCGGTGGGAACAGTGAGATTCAGGGTTTTTGCTCGACAATGGATTCGCCGGAAATTAGGGTTTGTTCTTGAACAAAGATGACAGAGTTTGGGGCTGAGCAACTTGATTTTCTGTTAATATATTTCAATGTATTTTCAACGTATCACACTGTATTTTCATGTATTTCATTGTATTCATTGTCTTTTTTTCCCATTGTAATTCAATGTATCTCGCTGTATTCCATGTATTTCATTGTATTCATTGTCTTTTTTTCCCATTGTAATTCAATGTATCTCGCTGTATTCCATGTATTTCATTGTATTCACTGTCTTTTTTTTCATTGTATTTCAATGTAACCTGCCGTATTCTATGTATTTCATTGTATTCACTGTCTCGCTATATGCCATGAATGTATTCATATGTTATTTTTTTATTTAATATAATTTATGTATTTAGATGTATTATATAATTTCTCTGAAGATTGTATGTTTTTGGGGTATTTTTCGATTGAGAATCTTTTTTATAACTGAAAATACAAAATTTGTGTGTTATAATTGAGTTTGTTGAGTTATATTAGGAGTCTATTATGTTAACTGATTCACTTTCCGTTTAAAAATAGTGTAATCCCCTGTTTCACGCCGTGAATACAGTCGAATACAATAATCTGTCCAACTGTAATCCCATGTTTCACGCCATAAATACAGTCGAATACACTTGAATACAACAACTGGTTAGCTGGACTTTCTTGATTCACGCATATTTTTGCTACTGTATTCATGAATACAGTAACTTAAATACATTTAATACATCTTATAACAACAGAAAACGTAACTACAATCAGTAATATAACAAATGATATCTATAAATAACTAATTACCACTAAAAGATAGTGCTTTATGAAAATTTCTCAAACATAAACTATGGGCACATTGCACAAACAATTATCGAGTTAAGTATATAGTAATATTGAAGGGCTTACACCTGCCGGCCTGCTCTTATGCTTTTGGCCAATAATGTAAACATTATGAGTTGTCATTTGAGAATATTCAATATACATAATTTATTTGTTTGCTAGAATAAAATCTTACACAATCAGCCTTCTTTGTGCTTCACGTGGTAATTATCAAACTATAAATTCATAATCTAGCGTGTATTTGTCATCATTTTGTAACAATATGTGTCATGTAGTGTAATTATTTAATCGCTTACAGGTGCTTAATAATTATTCAATCTGGTCCAAATAATTTGTCTCTTAAACTTGTTACACACGTACTCCTAAAAATATATATTTAATAACTCTAATCATAAAAATATTTGTCTAAATTACCCTTTATCTTACTTAATAAAAAGAAAACTAAGGGGGCTTAGAATTTTCTAAAAATAGTCTTGGCCTTGTACCCATTGCCTCTCACTTCCTGTCAAATCTCCTCATCAACTTCAAACAAGTAAAATCCCTCCGTCTCTCTACCTTTACAAGATAGGGGTAAGGCGTTATCCTCTCCAAACCTGATACTGTACGGGGATACACTGAGTATGTTATTGCTGTAAGAAGAGGCGGATCAATGAAGAAACAAGACGTGATAAATGGTTATACAACTATAACTACCAGTAACCGAATCGAGCAGCAACTTAGCCCATCAACAAAATCAAATGTCAATAATAGTCCTGATCCAGTAATTATCGCAAAACTTTACGCGATTAAGGAGGCTATTGCAGATAGAGTGGAGATGCATAAAAATATTGGAGAGCAAAGAAGCCAATGGAACAATATGCTTTTGACATCAATTAATGTCATAACTTTAGCAGCTGCTACAATGACTGCAATTGCAGCTACTAGTACTGTCGTAACTGGTCAAGTTTTCGGACTTAAAATTTCTTCCACTTTATTGTACTTAGCTGCTACTGTAATGTTGGTGGTCATGAATAAATTACAACCATCCCAACTCGCTGAAGAACAACGAATCGCGGCTAGATTGTTCCAAAATCTCCTTAACCAAATCGACACAACTTTATCAATCGGTCACCCTGTGACTAGTGATGTTCAGGAAGCTATGGATAATATCTTGGCTCTTGACAAAGCATATCCTCTTCCCATTCTCGGTATAATGCTCGATAAATTCCCATCTTCTGTCGAACCTGCTGTGTGGTGGCCTCAACAACGACGAATACAAGTCAAGAAGATTAATCAAAATATAAACAATTGGAATGGTTGGAACGGGAAATTGGAGGAAGAAATGAGAGAAATAATGGGAATTTTAGAGAAAAAAGATCAAGAAGAATATATTAGGCTAGGGAAAAAGGCTTTGAAATTGAATAAGATTTTAGCCATTTGTGGTCCTTTAATAACAGGGCTAGGAGCCATTGGCTCTGCTTTTGTGGGATCTTGGGCAGCTGTGGTAGGTATTGTGGCGGGGGCGTTGGCGACGATCGTTAACACAATTCAACATGGTGGACAAGTTGGAATGGTTTTTGAAATGTATAGGAATAATGCAGGTTTTTTTAAGTATATGCAAGAAAATATTGAATTTAATTTGATGGAAAAAGATGTTGGGAGAAGGGAAAATGGTGAAGTGTTTGAATTGAAGGTAGCTTTGATGTTAGGTAGGAGTTTATTAGAAGTAAGAAATCTTGCTAATGCTTCTTCTTGGAAAGGAGAACAACTAGATGAATTTGCTAGCAAGCTTTTTTAGTACTATGATTTTTTATCATCTAACTTATTGGACAGAACCAGGTACATATTTTGTTATGTTTATATATGCATGTAGATCTACTAATGTATTCTTTTGTTCAATTAACAATGTGTAAGAGTTCTGGTTAGGTTTTTTCTCCCACACAGTTGTAAATAGACAAACGATTCAATTCAAACCACTTCATTGTATCCACTAGTACAATTGCACCCTGCCTTAATAATCACTAAGGGTGACAAATAGGCGGGTTGAGTTGAATTTGAGCGGGTCAAGATGAGTTATGTCAATAAATGAGTCATTGCCCAGCCCACTCAACCCAACCCAATTCAAAGTGTACTTGGACTATGATGGGCTAAACAATGGGTCATAGCCCAACCTGCCCAACTTGACCCATATTAATTCCATATGATTAAGAGATGAGAGGGACCCTCCAACAAAAATCTCATTAATGAAGTTGGTATTTCCAGAGCGACTCAAACTTTGTGTTCAAATTGTCACTTCAAAGATGTGTACCTTGTTAGCTATCTCGTCGTTATTTGAGGAACATATAGTTTTAAGAAATAAAATTTTCGTATTTAATACTTCAAATTTAGTTATGAAACGATTATTTTTTTAGTTGCAGCTCCTTTGACTAAGTTAATTCAGAAAGGTATACCTTTTAGACGGTGTGATGAGAGCTATCAGAAGATCAAGATTACTTTGACTACGATCCAGTATTGGTGTTGCCTACAAGTTTGGAGTCATACACATCGTACTGTGACGCTTCACGCATTGGTTTTGGTAGCGTCAGAAGCGGACCCCGAATTTAAAAGTGGTGGGGATACCACTATCGAATAAAAATTTGAGCAAATACTCGAGTAGGAATCGAACCCAGACAACACATTGAAAGACAAGTTGTATCCCCCTAAATCGACCAATACAGTTGTCTAAATTTTGAGTGTCAGGGTGCCAATCAAAATATATACTACTCCCTCCGTTTCATATTAAATGAGGTACTTTCCTTTTTAGTATGTTCCAAAATAAATGACACATTTCTAAATTTGGAAATAATTCAACTTTAAACTCTTTTATTTTACCCATTTACCCTTAATGAGAAGCTTTTATAGCCACACAAATATCATGGCCCTGCAAACTTTTTATCCTTTAAGCTTTTAAGACCACAAGTTCCTAAAGTTTTTTTCTTCTTCTTAAACTCCGTGCCGAGTCAAACTACCTTATTTAATATGAAACGGAGGGAGTACTTGTTATTTAAGATATATACATCTATTTTTTTCGAAATTACCGGGGGCCGAAGACCCCCTATACTAAGGATAGGTCCGCCTCTGAGTGGCATGTTGATGCCGGATGATAAAGTTATTGCTAATGCATTACAGCTGTTTAAGCCTCATGATAAGAATTATCCAATTCATGATTTAGAGTTGACAACTATTGTACATGCACTCAAGATTTATATGCGTTATGTATGGCGTGTCATGTGAGTTTTATACTTACCATTAGAATCTTCAACACATGTTCAAGCAAAATGATTTGAATTTGAGATAGCAGTGTGGCTTGAGTTTCTTAAGGACTATGACATACTACTATCTTGTATCATCCGGGCAAGAAATATTGGGTGTGTGTGAATAAAGTCCCACATGAAAAGTAAAAATGAAAAAGAAGCTATTTATAAGGAGTTGGATACTCTTAATGGTGTGAGGTCTTTTGGTGAAAACTGTGCGGGCTTGCTCTAAAGCAGACAATGTGCCCGTTTTAATTGACTTATTTTAAGTGCTTTTAAGCTATTTTGTAGTGTTTGGATAGAGTAAATAAATGCTTTTAAGCCCTCGTTTTAAGCTAAAATGACAAAAAAAAACAAAAAGCCAAAAGCTAGAATTCCTAACTTATGGCTTAAAAGTTATTTTTGCCTTAAAAGCCACTTAAACTAAGCTCATCCAAACGGGCTCAATATTACACCATGTTAAGAGTATCTTTGGGCCATTTTTTAATCCAATAACTGCTATTAAAGCCATTAGTTTGGCGGCAAAACTACGGAGATAGCAGAGTATGGCACAAGGGCCTAACTTAATATATTGCCCGTTTACGGGGTTACGACCTTTACCCGTAGCTTTGAAGATACATACACAACATTTGGTCTTCGGTGATCGTAAATACTCAAGATGATGCGGGGGCACACAGTTAACCTCCAAATTATCTCATAAAATGATGATAGGTCATGTGAAACTTAGTTCAAGGGGGAGATTGTTGGGTGTACATGGACAAAGTCTCCTACATAGAAAGTAAAAGTAAAAAAGAAGCTACTTATAAGGAGTGAGATACTCTTAATGGGGGAAAAACTTTATGTGCTTGACCCAAAGTAGAGAATATATCACTATAAAATAGCATGGTCTTGCCAGTTTTCGGAATGATAATTGAAAAATAGCTAGCATTTGCAAAGTCATTAAAAAATAGCCACGATTTTATGTGCAAATAAAATCTGGACAAAAATATCATAGCTGAAACACGGAAAGTTCCAACATAATATGCTGGATTGGTGAGCTCATGTATATAAACTTTTAGCATATTATGTTGGAACTCCAACACATTATGCAATTGCAGTATATTATACTGAAATCTCATAGTTAAAAAATTCAAACTCCCGGCTATTATACTGGAACATTTTTTGATTTTAAGAGTGTTTTTGTTCAGATTTTATTTTATATGAAAAGTGACTAAATCTCGATTACTTTTGAAATTGTGACTACTAAAACTAGGGATATTATCACATTTAGCCCACGCCAGAAACTATTTACATATGGTAGCCGAAAAATTATATAAAATTTATATAATTTTTGTATATAACATATAAAATGTATATATATACAAAAATATATATAAATTTTATACATTTTTTCGGCTATTATTTTTACAGCGGCTATACAATGTCATTTTCTCTTAAAAATATCTTTAGGACATTTTAACCCAACAAGAAATGCTGATGAGATGAACAAGGTATCAGGCAATAAAGGAAAAATATTCGATAAAAACAAGGTTAGGGCTTCTTCGTTATTATCTATATCTGATAAAGGCAAAGGTTCTGTTAAGCTTTCGGAGTAGGCTAACTACAGCAACCAAGAACAATCAAAGTTGGGCCCAGAAGTTACACATATAAGGCCCAAAGGATTCTACACATTAAGGCTTACCGAGGAATACTCAGGAGCGTTGCCAGCTTCTAAAAACAGGATACTAAGTCATAGATAATGTTGTATTTTTCCTTTTATTTTATAGAGAATATAAATTAGTTATAGACCGACCAATAATGTACGGACAACTGGAGTTAGTTAGTGAGATGTAAGATTCTTTTTAACATTCTTTCTTGTATATAAAGAATAGCCGTGTACAAAGCAACACAATATAATACAGAATAAAAAATTCTCTCAAAATACTCTGACTTCCTACATGGTATCAGAGCTTTAGGTGCTCTTGTCTTTCATTTTTTTCCAGTCATCTTCTTCTCAATGGCTCCTAGTAGTGACGATCAGACCTCTACTATTACTACAACTTCTACCTTGATGGATTCTTCTAATCCTTACTATCTTTATCCTTCTGATTCACCAGGAATGGTGCTGGTCAATTCTCTTTTCAATGGAAAGTGGGTGGAGTAGAGCTATCGTCATAACTCTTTCAGCCAAGAATAAACTTGGTTTCATTGATGGAACTTCCACTCCTCCAGCTGGTGGTTCTAATCAGTATAGTGCTTGTGTCACGATCCTAAAACCAATCCGGTCGTGATGACGCCTATCATGAAACTAGGCCAACCGACACTATCCTAAGTCAAACAAATATTTCAAAATAAGGACATTTTAAGCTATTAATTTAAATAAAGTCCCATAACATGAGTCTAAATAACAAGTGCAGAAATAAAACACAAGCCCGACATAGGGGCATTACAAGTCACGAGCATCTACTAAAGTCTGAATACAATGAAGACTACCACAATCTGAAAAATACTAAAACAGTCTAAGGAAGATGAGAGGGAGAAGAGCAAGGCTGCGAACGCTAGGCAGCTACCTTGCTAACTTCGATGGACCTGCTACTGAGTAATTAACACCTGTTATCGGGTTTAGAATATACCTGAATCTACACACAAGGTGCATGGAGTAATATGAGTACGCCAACTCTGTAAGTAATAAAAGTAAATAAAGACTGAGAAGTAAGAAAACACATAATCCACATCATAACACCACAGTAAGCACAAGATGTTCTCAAACAGTATATAAATCAAGTCATCTCATTAAAATCAAATTTCAGTAAAAAATCTTTTGAAACTGTCCTTCAATAATTTTTCAAAATGAAGTGATAAAATAGTGAGTAAAAGTAGTGAAAACATAACTATCCCCTTGGGCAAAAACTCACTCGTATACAGCCCTCGGGCAACATAAATCACAAACAGCTCCTCGGGCAAGACATGTATTATAAACCGCCCCTCAGGCATAATATCAATCGAACCAGCCCCTCAAGCTACCTCACAATCACTCGTAATCAGCCCATCGGGTATAACATATATTAAGATCAGCCCCTCGGTTATAACATGTATCAAGATCAGCCCCTCGAGCAACAACATATCGCTCACTCTAGGTACCCGTGCTTATTGGGGGTGTTCAAACTCCGGAGGGGCTCCTACAGCTCAAGCGCTATAACAAGCCATCTCGTGGCATAATCAATCAGGCCCTCAGCCTCACATAACAAGTCACCTCGTGACATAAATCAATCAGGCCCACGACCTTACAAAATCATGAAACAGTAGCAACATGCGGGGGCGTGCAGCCTGATCCCATAAATATCCTCACAATACAGGCCCTCGACCTCACTCAGTCAGAAACTTTCAAGCCACTCGAGCTATCAGTAAAACAAGGTGCTCCGCCCAAAATATCATTTTATGCGTCAAAAACGGAGTAATAAAGTCTGACTTATGAAATTAGTAACACTTAGCTTGACTGAGTACAAGTCTTAAATCAAAATAGTGA